TCTGCCTTTTTAAGGGGATTTTTCATAGCTCTAATCTAAACTGCGCTGTCAAATGTCAGGAGTGGATATTTAATGAGGATCAGTTGGAAGCCCTAATTGGATGGGTATTCAACGGGCTTTTCTTTTTTTCCAGTTGTTGTTTTATCCTTAGGACTTTGTTTTCACAGAGATTCTCATTAAATTTTAGAAGCTAATCTCCTTTTGAGCTCAGTCGACCTTGGTCCTCAGGGGCTTCTCGGAGCTACGACTGTTGTTGGCTTTCATGGAAACCACCCAAAAGGTGGAGAGAAACCCCATGTGGGATGCTTCCACGGGGACCTTTAGTGGGGCTAGGCAGTTCTTCCACAAAAGGACAAGTAGTTTGCACCACAAAAATGGAAGTCTAAAGGCAACCAGGTCATGAGAGTGATGGAGGATAGAGAAGGACAAGTCATGAGGAGCTGGGTGGTCTCAGCATGCAGGGCACATGCCAAGGCTCCCTACAACCCTGAGAGGTGAGAAGACCTGGGGGCACGAGCAAGGGGGTGCAGCTCCCAGGGATACCTATTACACTTATCTTTAGAAGGATTAAGCATCTACCGCAGTAAGCAGCAAAGCCCTGGGTCCCTTCCAAAGGCGTGAACCGAGCTCATATAGCCCCTTTCAGACAGACATTGATAATTCCAGCACGCCCCGCAGCAGCCTCTCCGGGCCTCATTAACTCCCTTCCATCACGTGCCAGCACTTCCCTCCCGTGGGCACGCTGTCTCTCGGAGGCAACAGGTGCAGCAGGAAAGGGATTAAAGGCATCTGTCACTGAGCACGCCACGCACCGTGCTGCTCCATCTTGGAAACTGGAGCTGAACCCGCTCCGAGCCATCCCCACATGATCCCAGGCCAAATCCCGGTGTCCCCTGCCTGGCTTGGACGGCGTCACTGGCAGCCACATGTGCCCGGGGAGGAAGCGGCCGCTGCGCCAGTCTCCTCGGACATGTAAAAGTCTCCCTGCCTTTCACTGTGCTGTGCAAAGCATGCTTCCTCCCGGGAAAAGCCCTCTAAAGGAATGTATTTCTCCACATGAATCCAATATCCTGAACACTTTTTTTTATAAACAACCCTTTGATTTTCTCCTCACACAACCAAAATTATTCCAGATGATTTTTAAATCATTCTGGTTTTCTTTTAACCACACTTTTATCGCTTTTTTTAATCAAAACCTTGCAAGGACCATAAAAGACAGCACAGATGCAAGTGTTTCCATGCCCTGTTCCATATTAAAATATCATAAATAGCAGAGCACCCCCTACAGCACATCCTCTCTGCCCCCCTTTGCCCTGCGGTATATTAAGGAATCCAAATTTTCAACAGATATTTTGGCTAGGAAATGGCTTCTATTCCAGCACACATGTAGCACCTTCTCTCCATCCCTAATTGCATTTCATTTAACACAGGCAATTACCAAAATGACTTCTTCCAAAAATAAACCACGGGATGTTTAGAGCTGCCTGGCTTCCCAGTTGGTTTTCATCCAGGAAAGGTGTGCTCTCCTGCTCTCTCCTAGAAAGCCCAGAAGCAGGATGGCATCCTTGTAATTCTGCTCCTCATATAAAAAGGCATAAAACGATGCTGTGAAAGCCATACCCAAGGCAGGTGAGACACAGAGCTTACAAATCATAATGTCTGCTCCCTCGTTTCTAGGCATTTGTTATGGTGTCTTAAGTCAGCAACCTCAACAACTCCCCCAGTCTCCAGCCAGGAATAAAAGCGCTGAAGGAAATCAGGCCACAGTAATTTCCCCAAACCACAGAGCTAACATGCATGGTAATTAATTCTTCTAGTGGAGAGAGGTTTTCTAGCTGCTATGAAGTCTCCCAGGGGCTGACACAATAGCACATCTTCTTGGCGGTCAGGCTGCCATCCCATGGCTTTAATCATGTGTCCCACACAAGTCTGCAGAAAAAAAAAAATCCACTGAAATCTTCCAGCATGGTGCCTGAAATCAAGAGCTAAGGTCCATACTTCAGAATGCAGATGTGACCTGCTGAGGCAGTGGGTGAAATTGTGATGCCATTGACTCAGTAGAATCCTCCTCTTGACTTTAGCAGGGTCAAGACATGCCCCACCATGCACTGACTTCTTACTGCCTGGTATTGCATGCTACGACCTGGTGTCTTTTGGGTCTTTAAAAAAATACCACAGAGCCCAGAGCTTATGGGTAATAGAACCCTTGTCCTAGCGCTGTCTTCCTTTTGGAAGTACTGCAAGAGTCCTTGCTCCAGCTTCCTTGAATTTGTCATTGAAGTGTTCCCAAATTTTGCTTGCAAATCTCTTTAAATCTGATCACACGGGGAGTGTAAATGCAATGTTATTGAAGAAGGACATCATAGTTTACTTCATGGGGAATAAAACATTGAGATAACTTGATACAGCATAACTAAGATGATTTTTGTTTTCCTTTTTTAAAAACACATTTCCTTCAAAGATTCCTTCCACAACACAACATTCAGCCACCCCCATAACTAATTCATTATTTTGTAGCAAGTAAAATCAAACGAGACAAATGATTGTTGTTTAGTGCCATTAGTTTCAATGACTTTACACAATATTTGAGTGATTGGCTCGCCTCTTGCTTTGGAGGAATCCCAAATCTGGATGAATCTACTCGCATTATAAACCATTGGTAGGGCCGGGCCAGGCCTGTCTAACAGATGGCAGTCCATATGCTTTGGCTCTACACCCATATGCAACACTAATATGCAATCCAGGAATAGACTATGCCATTTCTCCCCTTTCCGAAGCAATCTCAAATCCAAAGACTTTTTCAAATATAAGCCGAGTTAAGCAAGTTCATCTGGAATCGGTACAGCAAGAAACTACAGGACCAGCAGTCCAAGCATAATATTTTCCTTGCTCTGTGGCTCTTACTGAAGCCTCAGTTGCAACATTTTCTAGAAAGCAGCATATTAGGCTTTCCGGAGTGCTAGTTAAAAAACCCATTACATTCCTATAATGTGCTTTGACCTCCTCTGCCTGGGTCATGCAGGAACACAGAGTACTTCATTGGCCCTCGCCGGAGGATTTTCTCCAGGCAACCAAACCAGAAAATATCCGGGGGCAAATTTCACAATAACCGTGAGGCTTTGTTTGCTGGAGGCACAGGGTTAGTACTGGAAGGCCTGCCACCATTCAGCATGGAGGGGCTTAACTGTTGTCCCTGGTGGTATTCCTCCAGCAGAACTGGCAGGTTTATCCTGGCTAGGCACCTTGGGTGAGAAAACTTTCCCCCCATCCAGCTTTAGCAGCTCAAGGACACTATCTCAGTGCCTAATCCTTCTCCAAATGTGTTTTTCTTAACAATATGCTGTAAGCGATACAGGCAGCTCCTGCTCTCTGCATGCGAGCAGCTTGGTTGCCTATAGCTGCCTCTCACAAAATATTTAATGAATGAGCATTTTTTAAATTGTTTTGGTATTGTACTCCGTTTGCCTAAAATTCCCCAAATCCTGCCAGCTGGCCTTCCCACCCACCAGGCAGAGACCAGGAGGAGAACAGACCGCTCCAGCTGCCCATGTGGTGCACAGCAGTGTCCCCACTCCCTTCACATGGCACCATGGGGTGGCCCTGCTCTTGGGAGCTTCCATGGGTGCCGGACTGGATGCATCCCAGCTCCTGCTGGCATTCCCATGCCGGTGGAGTGGGCACCTTGTTGCTATGGGCGTTTGGAACCACGCTGTGCAGCTGGCCCCAGGGAACCCACGGGTAAGGTTGGGTGCTGGGGGCCACCAAGGGCTTCTACCATTTTTGGCAGAGCCATCATCTGCTTTTGAGTGTTGTTTGCCTCCAAAAAGGAAAGGAGGTGGCACGCAGGGTGGCTTTTCAGGGTGGTTTCAGGAATGGGGCGAGGAAAGGAGCCGATCAACGATGCAGCCCCCTCAAGGGAACCCGCATCAATGGGAGAACCTAGCCAGGTTTTGCATGTTTGCTCTTCTCTTTGTGCTCACACCTTGCTGGCTTTTGGGATGTACATATTTACTTGGTTGACATGTTTAAAGCCTTATGGTTGCTAACCATGTAGGGGAACCACTAGAGTCCCTACTGGAAAGCATGCCCTAGCAAAGATGATAGCAGCAGTAGCAGGTCACACTAAACGCCATTTAACAGGAACATTGAGGTGCTTGGAGTTGAACCAAAGATGTAAAACAAGGTATGAAGCCTCAACCATGAAGAGAAACCCATCTTTCCTTGCTACATACCTATTAGCAGCTAGAGGAGGTCACTGCTAGTCTATGCCTTACTTTGCCATTGCCTGAAAATGTAAAATTAGAGTAATTTAGGGCAAGCACCTTAGAGCAGTGAGTTCTCTAAGCTTTCTCCATGCTCCTTCCTATGCTGCCAAAGTGGGAAATGTTTTTATTAGTGGTGTTACTTCATGTTTATTCTCAGCTCATGCTCAGGGTTGTGAAAACATCATTGTGGGAAGGGTTCTCCAGGAGCTGATTGTGAAACTTGTAAAAGTGCTTGTAGATTTACTTACAGACAACATTAAGCAGCTAAATGCAGGCTGCCTTCAGCTGGATTACGAATGTAATTGGCATGTGACAGCTTTCCCTGGGCACTGGGCTAGGTTTGATGGAGCTGCAGAGAAGATACTCCCAGCTGGAAAAGGAGCTTATTTTAGAATGCCTTGATGTCACTAATGCTGGGAGAGAAATACATCCTCTTGAGAGCATGACGATTTTTTGGTTATCGTTCAGGCCTTTCTCAGCCATTTCTTAGCATACACGGCTGTTGAGCTAAAGGGCTCTGTTTGAGGGATGAGAAAATGGGTGAGGCTCATTCTCTGATGGTGGTGGTGGCCTCTGGGATTCACAGGTCAGGCTGGGAGCACTGTAGCATCTCCAGTGACTAGGGCAAAAAATAAAATGTCCTTGGTATTCTCAGGCAAAGAGAAGGTCTCAGGGGAGCAGTCCCTTACGAGACAGGAGTTAGCGGTGTCTTTTCCTCTGCCTTCTCCTCCAGCCATGGTGCCCAAGGCGCGGGCGCTGAGCCGCGCGGAGCGGGTCCAGGCCATCGCAAACCTGCTGCGGCAGTGCCCGGCCGAGGAGTTTGCCATGGCCTTCAACGACCTGCGGGCACTGCTGGTGGATGACAGCCTCCTGCTGCAGGAAGCCCCTGGCCTCTGCGCCTGGCACCACAAGGTCCACTTCATGCCCGTGAGAACGCCCGAGTGCCGCGTGCTGCTCACGTGCCACAACACGCTAGAGGAAAACCGCTACTTTGACCCGCAGGCCCAGGTCTCCTTCAAGTACGACCATGTGCGAGGCGAGGCTGGCGATTTTCAGGTGTACGCCCAGGAAGACGGCAAAGCAGAGATGTGGAGGAGGTCTCTTGAGGAAGCCCTGGGCACCTATGTCAGCCACCACTACCCAAAAGGCCTCTGCAGCGTCTTCGTTAAAGACACAGCCATGAGGAAAATCCTGGTGGCCTGTATCCAGGCCTCCATGCCCAAGCCCTCTCCCTTCTGGAGCAGCCTTTGGAAGTCCGAGTGGACTTTCACCCTCAGCCCTTCCACATCTACGCAGGTGACGGGAACCATCGATGTCCAAGCTCACTACTTTGAGGGCGGCAATATCCATCTCGCAGCGTGCAAGGAGGTGACCCTGCCCCTGCCAGTTGCCAGCCGAACGCAGGCCATCAGGGCCTTTGTGAAACTGGTGGAGGACTCCGAGGGCCAGCTCCATGCGGGGCTCATGGAGGAATACCAACGGATGAATGACACCTACCTCAAGGCCTTCCGGAGACAGCTGCCCATCACCCACAGCATGATCGACTGGGAGAAGATCATGACGGGGAGGATTGTGACGGTCCCTGCCCTGCACTAAAAAGCAGCGTGTACTCACAGTCACCAAATAAATGCTATGATCTCCAAGAGAAATTTTAAATATGGTTAGAAATAACAGAAAAAATAAGATAGAGTAGAAGCAGAGGAAATGAAAGCTAGAAAGAGTTATATATGGTCAAAGGGACAGCCCAAAGTGAAATTCTTCTGCTGTCTTATGCCAAGGGCAGGAGAATAACAATTAGATGAAAGTAAGTATTAGGAAACACTTCATAAATGTGAGAAATCCAACAAGGCATGCATCCAAAATACTGAATGGGCTGAAAAAATGTGTGATTTAACAAGCATTGCACTGGGGACCCTGACTATATATGGTTTTGCCTCCTGATATAGAGGGGTACTCTGGAGCAAACTGCTTTTCATTCCTTCCCCACTGTGGAAATTAAAGCTTAGTTTCAAGCCTCACTAGAAAGAAACTGGATAGCTTAACTTTTTAGAAGGAGCGATAGCCAAAAATAACCTCTATATATCAAGATCTGTAGATGGCACAACATTTCCAAGACTATCTTGCCAAAATAAACTAAAATCCCATTTGGATCTACTAAAATCATTTATGTGAGACTGACTCATGCCCATCATGCTCAATATCATTCCCTAGCTGCATCAAAACTGCAGTGTAGAAATTAAAACAATTTTCATAACACCTTCCAAACAAAATATGGTGTCTTTCTGGTTTGCAAGAGTAGTGTCTCAAAAGAAGATACAGTTGCTTCTAGACACTAAAAAATATCCAGGGAGCCTGAAAAATTAAACACAAAATTTTAATTGGATTCACAATGAATATTTGCAGTGTGTTACTATCTCAGTTTGATTCTGTGACTGAATGACAATATTGCTTATTGACTGCACCCTGGGTCTGGATTGATAAGCATTCAGGAGATGATTTCCCTTCATCCTTTCATCTTGTTTAGCTAATAGGAGGAAAATTTCCCCTCCTCCAGTTCTCCTCTGCTTTACAGATGGGATCACCACTCCAGGAGAGGCGGCAGCAGCAGAGGCGCTGGAGGAGCAGGGATTTCTGTGCTGCAGTTCAGAAAAATCTGCTGTCGATCACCCAGACATACCCAAGTGAGCGTTAAATACACCCGTGCAGACACTGATTATAGAGTATCTGTGGCAGCACGGCGCCGAGCACAGCCTCCAGACATTACAGCTTGACCAGAGGAGCCACATTTTGGCACAGTGCAAGATACCAGCAACATATTCCCCAAGAGACCAAGTGGCAAGTCGAGATATACTTACATAAACTTCTGGAGGAGGGAGAAACTAGTGAAAGTCCCGAGCTGTTGCGTTCTCCAGCTGCACGGCTCTGCAGCACACATACAAAGCAATGAACACAGCAAAAGCAGAATTAATCTTGACATCTGAAGGATCCTTATTCAGTCTGGACAGACCCCACTTTGGGTCTATAATGACAGGCTCGTTCCTAGAGCTTCATTCATCAGGGAAGAAAATCATTGGAGTAATCAAGGGGAGAGGAAAACACGAGTGCATGTGCGTTTGCTGTGCTGCTCGTCAGCATTGGAGCATGAGGTGACTTTTCATCTCTTGGCTGGCTGCTAGCCCAGAGACACAAAGAAGCATGTGGCAGATCAGAAAGCTGGAATGTAACAAAGCTAACCAAGATTAAAAAGAAAAGCAATTCAGGCAGCTGCGCTTTTGGCTGTAGCTCAGCTGAGCAGGCAAGACAAGACCCTTATCCTCAAGCTGTTGTAAGGAAAAAAATGCACTAGATACACACCAGCATACAGAGAGGAAGTGGTTATTGGGTTTGAGTAGAAGCGCTAATCTGAACTATTGCCCCAAACGGAGATGCTGACAAATGCTGCCCTGAACTCTGGGTTATGCCAGGAAGAGACTCACCATAGAGAGCAGCATCTCTGCTGGTCATGCCACAGCCCTACTGCTGCTGGTTCTTCGGGGATTGCTTTTGCAAGGCAATGAGGAAACATGGATCTAGAGGAGAAATGTTAGGTACAAACCATACACAATCTAGACAAGGTGTAGGTTGCAATGCACGCACTCACATGTGCTTTTCCAGCTGGGAAAAAAAAATGCAGCCTGAGATTGCTGAAAATGGGCTAAATCCATATTCCACATTACGCTACTACTTCTCCCAGCAGCTAATTCTTGTAAAGATCCCTCCCTGCCACTGTCAAAACCAGAATGCCAGCTGCTTTTGAAAGGGTCGCCTTTAAAGCAACCAGCCAAATTACTGATTAATGATATGGAATCTTAAACTCTATTTTACAAGTTCAGATCTAACACTGCTTCTCTGCTGTCACCATCGAAAAGCCTCTTTGCAGCCAAGTGCACCTAACTCGTGTGAGCAAGCTCCTGTATCCCAAGGTCACCAGTGCTGTTGCTTGGGGCTGACCTTCCTGACACCATGGATGGATGAAAAACAAAATCTGCCATTACATGAATAGTTTTGAAGGGAAAAGAGAGGGAGAATGGACAGAAATGATGGGAGTGAGGAAGGGTGCACAAACAGAAAGGGAAAAGGAGACCATAAGCAGAGTCAGTGAGTGAACCAGTCTCAAGGGAAGCAGCTGCAGTCACTTGGGGTGTTAAAGTATATTCATGTTGCAGCCCCAACATCTGCACTCCCATCTGAACAGAATCAATATACTTTTTTTTTCTGCATTCATGATGGTAAAAGAGCCTTAATTAGGCATGAAGACATTTATCAAGCAGCAGCCCTGGGCAGCAGGCTGGTGACAGTGACATGTGGCACACAGACTGGGTGGCAGCTCCTGGCCTGACAGCCTCTCAGTGCCATCAGCAGGGAAACCCTAATGATGCCAATCTGCAACACAGAGCCCATCAAAGCAAGGGGAGGCTCCAAGAGGCCCTTTGTTTTTTTGTGCATATAAACTCAGCAGGGCCAACCCCAAAGGCAACAAGGTGAAATAGGAAGTTGGCCACTGATTTCAATTGCTGCAGGGCCTCATTTGCAGTTTAATGCATGTTTAAAATGGGGGCTTGCAGAATCTATCCTGGGAACAGAAACATCAGAAGCAATTTCTTTTTTGCTCTTAATTTTCCTGTGCTTTGACCCAGAAGCTGCTTCAGGAGAGCCAGGAATCCCTTCTCCCCTGCCCTTCTAACACCTTAGGGCTGCTGCTGTTAGATCCTGCCCGGAATTCTTTGCAACCCAAATGACAACTACCTTGGACGCTTAGGATGGCCCTGCAGCAGGGCACAGATGCTCATCCCACGCTGCCACGTGGGTGGATGACCTGCTCCCTTCCAAGTCTTCCTCCCTCCCTTGCAAGCAGAGCAGGTTACCCAATCTTCCCATGTGCATTTGCTCGCATGGCATTTTATTCGTTGTGCCCTGCTTCTCACCTCCCTCATCAATTATAAATAGTAAAAATTAAAATAAGCACATTTATTTCATTTCTTGTATTTTTTTTTTTATTTAAAAAGAAGGTTTGCTAACAGCAATCAGTACCTTGGCCCAAGCCCCTTAATACAACAGCTGACTTGTACAGCCCTATGGCTTCATCTCTAGCCTCATCCTCCTCCCACAGGGGACAAACTAGGGAATCATCCGTCTTAATGCTCCTGAATCAGGTGAAGCTCCCCATGATTGCAGCACTAATTTCATTTTGCAGCTTTACACTCTGTCTCCTCCTATCTCAGGAAACACCAACAACTTAGACTGATGCTCACAGCCAGATTTAGCTTTGTCGTGCGTTTAAATAAAAGAAAGTTTAAAAAAAAAAAAGTGCAAAAAAAGGGAAATCATTTCCCAGAGTTGGAAAAAAACCTCCCCCTGTGGCAGGTTAGCCCACATTTATCCACTATAATGTTGCTTACACCTTAATCTTAGGCATCTTAGTCATTAGTCTGACACTAATTAGCAAGCTGGAGCTTCCTAGGGGTACAGTAGTTTCCAGTTCCCTAAACATGAAAGAGTTCTTTTTAGCACTTAAAAGCACTTAGTTTTTAAAGAGACAGTGTCAGGGATTTCCACCACCAAATTTACACTTTTTGTACTTAACAAAAAAATAGCAACAGAAAGAGGCACAAAGATCACAAAGCCTAGTGACAAAAGCATTGCAGTGCTGCTCCAAGGCTCGGCTCTGTCCTGCCATTGCCTCTCACAGAATTTAAACCCAAGCTGCGCTCAGCAAACCCCAGCTCACCTGCATGTTGGCACCAAGTGTGAATAAGGAAATAAGCAGCACAGGCTACAGAAGTGGCAAGCAAGATGAGCACTTAACACCAATTTATACCAATTTATACCAATTTATCGTCGTCCCTCAAAGCAAACTCAGGAATCTAGAGAAAAGCAAATTTGGTCATAAGAACTCTCCTCCCCCACCCCCAATGGGCATTCTTAAAAATAGGAAAAAAAAAATTATTTCTGACAATTGTCACTATGCAAGCATCCCATCTAGGTATGTCTGGCGTCCTGCTCAAGTTGTCAGAGTAAAAAGTCATCGGAGCTTGATAAAAGGACAGATGGGCTTTAAGGAGCACAGCACTGTACCCTAGTGCTTGGGGAGAAGTGAAAATAAATTATTTAGGCTTGACAAAGTGCCTTTAAGTCCTGCAGCCTTTCTGCTTGGGTGGGTCTCAGGCCTATCACCAATATCTCAGCAGTTATTTTCGGAGGGGGAAAGAAGGCAGGCTGCTTAGCAGGTAGCACTTGGGAATTAAGAGCTAAATGTACTTATGGTTTTCCTGAGCCCTGACAGATGCTGAACGCCTCGCACTCCGGCACACTAAGACACGTAAAATTGATGGTGCCGGTTTGCGGCAGCAAACCTCCTTCGTGCCACACTCCAGCATCTCCTCCCCATCTGCCCGGCCTTGCAGCCACCGCTCACATCTCCTTTTCCAGAGCAATATCACTGGGATCAGTTCACCTCGAAGACAGTGTTCACAGTCCAGCAGCTGACAGGCACCCAAGCCTGTTTGGATGGATGGGTCTGCACGTGACTGATGGGTGCTGAGCACCACTTGCTGGGAGACAGTCCCTTACGGGCAGCAGATGGCCCTGCTCTGGTCCCACCAAGACACACAGACAGCCCTTGGCCACGAGAGCTCCCAACAAACCTTCCCTGCCCACCCCGCTCCCCAGCCCCCCTACCCCATCCCCACCATTGGCACGGAGCCAAGAACGTGACCTACTAGAGCACCAGCACTGACGTTCTCGGCCAGACAAACTAACTACCAACCTTGGACCAGTCACGACACAAGGCTTAACGTTTACCCATCACCTAACATACCCTCAAAAACCAAGGTCATCTGCACGCATTTTGGACGTAGATCTAACATCCTTCCAAGCCTAGCAAGCCCAAGGCAAGGTCTCCTGCCCAGGGCCAGTCACTTCAGATGCTCCTGCATCTCACCTGTCCCTTCCTTGGTGAACACCAAACAGTTATAATAGGTCAATATATATAGGTACCACGTATATATATTTTTGTCACTGTTCTGCGCATGAACAAAGAAAACCAACCCCACTAGGCACCACTCGTCCTTTCCTCCCCCTCCCCTTCCTCCCGTGGTTGTGTAGCCTGCAGGAACACGAGCCATGGAGGCCACCTTACGTGGCCCCGTCGCACTCCCCCACAGTCAGCTTCAAGGCTCCCTGCTGGTGCAGAGTCTTTAAGGCTTTGAACTCCAAGGGCATGGTGTGCGGGCTGGCCTGCGAGGTGTAGCCGTACTTCAGGCTGTCATAGTAATGGTACTTGACTGGGTTCTGGTTCTGATCCAGAGGGAACGGCCAGAAGCCGTAGAGGTGGATCCTGTTGCAGAAGCGCGTGGCTAAGGTGTACATGAGGAGGCCGGTGGTCGGTCGCTTTATATGCACTTTGTTTGTGAGCCAGTACCTGGAAAGGGAGCGCAAAGAAAACAGTGTTATTCCCTCCGCAGCCAGGCTCACGCATGAAGCTCACGTCTTACACTTTCTTTTTGCCATCCCCTGAGATACGCCGGTGATTCAAAGTGAGAGGTTTCTGACTAACAGAAGAGTTCTCCATGCCAAGAAAGCCTCTCTGGGGGTTGCTTCATGAATAAGCATCTCCCGCTCTCTGTCTAGCGGTTGCATCACACTTGTTGCTATGGCATTGAAGCATCTCATGGCTTTGCAATCCTTTACGAAAAACAAATTGCTTGCAACGGGTGGCCTTCAGCACTTCAGCCTACAATTATCTTCCAATCAACCTAGGAGATCAATACTATAGACCAAACCATAGACATGTCAAGTAGACTCTAGCAAGCCCTTGAAGCGTACACGCTCGCACACAGAGCCAATGATTTTCACTGATGCATGAAGATTTTACTCTGACAGTAAATGTAACAGAGCTGTAAAAATGTTTGCCTTTGAATAAAGGGCTACCAGGCTAAAAGAGCTAATAAACACTGCTTTTCCCATTACCCCCAGCAACTGCCACCGTGATCCTGTATCAAAATATTTCACCACGCAACATATAATACAGGTTATTCAATATGTAATATGTTATACAGAGGACAGGTGCCTTCACTGTTGAAAGGTGTATTAGTTTTTGAGAGACAGCAGAAGGAAGGCAGGAAGGCGGCATCCCGTAGTGATGCACAGACAGAACCTGTACCAGCAGGTAGATTTTGGGAAGCCAGGAAAAGCTATCATACTACCAAGTTGTAATAAGTTTCCAATGCCTGCTGTTTTATTGACTGGGAAATTTATCCAGTTTCCTCAGCAGAAAATACTTCTGGAAGAGTAAGATCAGAAAGGAGAAGGACTGGGGTGGAACAGCTCCCAGTCCTTGTGGGAATCATGTTAAAACACTTGCTGTGGGGCCTGTTCACTGTAGGTGAAAGGTGGGTGTAAGATTGGGTGTAAGGATTGGGTGTAAGAGGTATTTCAAAGGGCCTGGGGTGGCTCCCTGGCTTTGGAGGGAAGTCACAGAGAAGTGGAGCACACTGAGCCGTATTGCTGCGAAATCACCCAGAGCTTTGGGATCACGACTGGGGTCCCAGCTCCTCATGCAGATCCACAGGACAGGTCTTTCTGCTCATTCATCCTTTCAGTGCTTTGAGCTGGGCTCCAGAGAGGTCTGGATTTTAGACAGATGGAACTCTAGGGAGATCACAACCTTAATCCTGCAAATTAGCTTTTCATGAAAGCCATTAAAATTTAGCAACCAAGGCACAAAATGTACTTACTGGTTCTCAGATAAGGGGAAAATCTGACTTTCTGGTGAACCAAATACTGGAAGCAGAACTATTGTCTGAGCACACGTAGGAAGGAGATTTTGCTCCCTCATAGTGGATGGAAGGGTTTATTAGTGTCCAATAAACCACAGAAATGTCTAAGTGTCTACAGCTTTGGCAAAACACGACTGAGGAAAGATGAGGAGGAAAATGGGGAAGGATGCAGTGAGGAGTAGCTTCTCAGAGGCACCACATTGGGCCACCCCATCCCTTCTGGATTGCACTATCAAGGCAGTAAAGCTTGTTGCTATGCGAAAGGCAGCATTATCCTACAGGTAGCCATAAAACAGCCTACTTCTATTACTTTATGTGTAAGTGTTTTAGACCCCTACTGTGAGGGGAGAAATGGGAGATTATTGCAACCATTTAACACTGTGAATTAGGGAATCCTTGTGCAGCAGGGAAGCTACCTGTGAAGAAGTGCCAAGTCACATCAATCTGCTGGCTTTGGGGGAAGGCATAAATGTCTGCATTTGTCCCACTTTTTAAGCTTTAGGCTTAAAACTCCTTTTATCAATTTTCCAGCTTAGTGTTAACCTGCCTTCAGAAGGCCTGACAGTATCAGATATGCTGTGAGGAGCCCACAAACCTAATGGTGACCTCCTGTCCTTCCACGAGTATTAATTTCCAGGTTTTGCTCAGAGTCTGTAGAAAATCTAGTAGCACGCTACAGCCTTGACACAATTATGAAGGGAAACCTGTGCAAGGGAGACAACCAAAACGCTGCTGTGTGTCCCAGGCACAGGTCTGCTTTAACAGCCCCAGCACTCAGGGTCTGGATGGAAAGAGCAGTGGAAGGACAGGAATTCCTGCCATGCTCATTTTCCCCACAGAAGGAACCAGCGGTGAAGAGCTCCTTGCAGATACCTGGGATTCAGGTAGGGAGTGAAGACTCATCTCGACTTGGCTTTAATTTTTCTGTTTGCTTTACCCAAACAGAAAGTGGGGAAGTGGTAGCATCGCATCTGTCTGCCAGAGATAGTTACCTTCTCATAGACCATCCTTATACCTATGCATGAAATTAATGTGGTCAGAAGTACCCTACACAGAAGAACACTGTTTTCTGCAAGCCAGCACGCACAAACCACCCCACCAAGACAAAAAAAAACACATTCAATCTGAAGCCCAGCATGTGTGCACATGCAGCTACTGAGCACTCATAATCCTTCAACGATATTGGAGTAGACTACAATGACAATGCACACTCTTACAATAAAATTTAAATATTCTCTTCTCCTTTATGGCCATTTTCTTCTATTGCAGACATAGAATTAAGACACTAAAACACTATCAGTCACTTCTACAGCATCATATATTACCCTTCAAACCATTACCCATATTTTGGAAGGTTTGAGCCTTTTGTCAGTGTACAGCTCAGAAGCAGCTTTTAACTACAGTAGTGGACATGAGAGGGAAATGATCTGACCTCTCCAAGTCTCAAGATATTTCATCCAGGATGGAGATCCCTCCAGCTGAACCTTTGAGAGGTAGTGGCCAACTCCAGCTCTTCCAGGTGCATCAGCACAGACAACACCAAACAATGGCCAAACCATAACTTAGGCCATATGACAGTGCTCGCAATTTGTTTCCTGCAAGGTGAATGTTGAAAATCCCCAAATGAGGTCTGAGAATTGCTTTTTAAGAACTAGTTTGTCACAAGAGTGCAGGAATTACACAGGAGCATTTCTCCTACCACCAGCCAACTTAAATTGTCCATATTCCTGGTGCTGTTCCTGATTCAGGAACAGCTGGAGATGGAAATAAAACCTAATTAATTCTGTAAATCCCAATGAGGTTGCCTGGGTGCACATGGGATGCTGTGTCAACAGCACACCTTTATTATGTGAGGTCCAAGATTTTAATTAGGAGAAAAGATAATCTTGAAGCAGGCAGTAATTATTTTCCAAATTGGTTACACCAATCATCATAACTATTAACTGCAACATTTTATGGAAAGAGACAGCAATTAAAACAGAGGCCTGAAGAGTCATCCTGAAGCTTGATAGCTCCCTTTTCAGAGCCACTTTCCAAGGGTGGATGCTTCCTTCACAAACCAGTCTTGTATCACTTCTGTAGTAAACCCTCAGGGGCATAGGTAGCCTACAGAGATGGTTTGACACCCAAGCAGGATGCAGCAATGAACAGAAACCAGGCAAAAAATGTCTGAAGCAGGTCTTGCTTAGTGCCATGATAGCATTTTCCATCTGTATCCATCGTACCATCAAGACCATAATTTGTAAGGAAGCAGCCTGGATGGAGGACCCAGCACTGCTTGAACTAGCACTTGAAGGCAGCCAAGGATGACAGCTTCAAGAGCAGCAGCTTGAAGAGTCTTACGTTACTGCCTAAGTGGTCTGGTTTGTCTTTACAGGGTAGCTATCTGACCCACACAGAGCAAGCATCAAGAGAGATATCAGCAGTGATCCCAGGGCAGTGTGAGAAGTTTTCACAGTGATATTTCCCCCAATTCCCTCCCAAGACAAAGAAAAATGCAACTCTTTCAGGATACTGCTACAATTACAACACCACCGATTTTCCATCATTTTTTTTTTTCCCACAGCACATCACTTCCTGATGTGCCAAAAAAATTCTAAGGTAACTCAGACCCTCCTGCTAAAGGTTAAACTTCAGGAAAAATTATCAGAAAATCCATCACGCTAATGAAATGAATAAAAGAAACACAGGTCAATGAAGGAAGCAGGATTCAGCAGCATCAGCTATATTATTTAGTCATTAAAAATTAGAATAATTGAAATAATGCAACTTCAGTCCCTTTTAAAGCAGCTTATTCGTAAAAGTGTGATATCAACACCAGCTGTTCTGGACATGCTAGACCTCGACTGGCAGAAGGGTGTTATCAGTCTGTCACATGCATCCTGCTCCCACCAATACTCCTGGAAAACACAGCTGCAAGGAACGAGGTTGGAGTCTCCTGAAGGCATTTCATATCCGTGCCAGCACACAGGGACAGACCCTGTCCTGTTACCTGCACAGTGCACTGCACATGCAGCTGCCATAGCTCTAGAGATGAGACACTGGCACACAGGGAGCAACCAGTTACCCACCTACCTGGCTTCTGCTGATCCCGCTCTATCCATTTTCCTCTGTTATCTTCAAAAAAAGGCTGGAGTGCCATGCGTCGGATCTGTAACAGGCCTGAACTGCTCAAGTCCTCATTCAGATCCCTGCAACTCCAAAAACTGCACCTGCATTTCAAAGCTGGTCCTGATCTTCAGGCAGAACAAAGCCCACACTCAAGATCTATAACCAGACATGGCCTGAGTATAAAGAGCTTGAGTTGCAATGCCTGGCTTGAGTCTTGTTTAAATAACCTGGCACAAATGAATCGATGTTGAGGAGCTAAAGATCTGTCATAGATGAGTAACTCTATCCTTATCCAGACCCTGAGATCTGCATTATCCTTTGAAATACATCTGGTATTCAAACACACAAAGTAAATATTTTCCAAACCAAAAGAAAGGGAAAGCCACAAGGAAGAGGCTTACTCTACTTCTTTCTCCTCTTCTTCTTCTGTCTTTCCCCTTATTTTATAAAAAGGCTAAATCTTCCTTCCAATTAACTGGAACAAGCTGTCTGGATTGGTAATTAAGCATCTTCAGTATGCAAATACTATGGCTGCATACGCCACACACAGTAATCTTCAGCCAGAAGTAACACCCCAAACACTGGAGGAGATGTCTCGCATCCCAGGATGGCTCTGTCCCTAGGTGCTGAGGTAGCAAAGATGAGCAGGGAGAGGGGAGTCTATGAAGGGCTTTGGAACAGCGACAAGCAGCTCCAATCTGCATAGGTGGGAGAAGCCAGGGAGACATTGCAGGTAGGGATGAGTCCCCTTTATGTCCTACTGATCCCCTCTTCCAAGAGTGTCTGCAAGCACAGACCGTACGGGCTGCCATGGACCTGTAGTGCAGCTGGGCATCAGGACACCGCTGCACTGCACCAGCTACAAACTCCGAGCATGGCAATCGCCATCACAGAGTGACAAACTGTCACTGCTATTTGGATGTAAAACCTAATAGGAGACCTAGCCAAGGAGCTGTAAGATTTATTGATTTATTTTTTAAAGCAGGTCTTAATAAAGTCTTATGGGATTAGAATTTGTTCCTGCCAAGAGATCCTTGTGATGGACATAGTGAAAAACACTAGACTAGATTATACAAGAAACAGAAATGTGTTCATGAATTCTCTCCAAGGAGTGATATCCAAACCTCCAGACAATTTTCCCCTGCTTCCCGTGTTTAATGTTATTCCTCTAACAAAAGCTGCTTGGTGAGGGGGATTACAAGGCTTTTTGGCAGCAGTAAAGGATGAGTTATAAAGGTTTGCTTGCTTTCCAGCCACGGAGACAAACACTCGGTTCCAGTTTCCACTTACCAGACAAGTTGTTCAGGAGACATTTTACAGACTTGCTCAAAGCAAGTCACGCACTCCAGAAACGCACAGCACTAGCACCATCCCCAAAAGCTGGCCCCATAACCCAAGCAGAGCTTTTCCGCATCCACTCGAGGTAGTGATTCCATTTCACGGCTTTCACAGTTTCCTTCAGAGCGGCTCCATCAACACATTTACAGCCCTCTCCCCTCCCAGCAGAAGGGGAGTGGAGCTGGTGAGTGTGACTGCATAAAAAGAACATCTGTCCTGCTCCATACATTAGCCAGTCATCAACCCTAAGACTACCAGCAAACATTTAAAGCATCCTCATAGCTGACGGTGATCTCTCAAATGTTGAGAAGCACAACAAAAACAAATCCTTTTTGCTTATTGTAACAATGCACACTCTACAAGTGCCCCAAAAACCCTGCAAATTAGAGGAAGAAGTGTTCAATTGCCACTGAAACGTAGCCTGCTCTAGGTGAAAAGCAGACCTCTTCATCAGTGTAGCATAATACATACAGCAATTCAGGGAGTCAAGAATTCAAGAATGTGTTTCACCAGAATTGAAAGAAGTGGCAAAAAGGCAAAGCTTTTGTAGCTGAATTGAGGTTGGCTAAGATAACCTTAGTCTTTGTAGAAAATGCTGCTTCTTAAATAACATATAAAAGTGTGTTGGTTGAAAGACCTCTTTGTTTCTTTGTGATTTCCAAGTCAACTTAGAAGATATTATAAACCAAGGGTAGTTTTATCCAGAGAGGACCGGAAGGGACAACTTTGCAACTGCAGAAACTGTAGAGCAGAAGGATTTTCTGTGTTTCTGCATTATTTATTGCTACATGCCACAAAACATTCATTTCACCAATCTCAGACCCATCACCAGCTCACAGACCTAGTGCAAATTGGCATGTCACACACAGAGAGTGGAAGAGAGAAGGAAGTTGCCAGAGCCTAAATCCCTGAAGCAGCAAGAAGTTCATTACCCAAAAACATCTGGGTAATCCTAGGAGTTAGAGTGTACCATAGAAGACAAGCAAGCAAGCTTCCAGCAGTTCTCATCAGTTTGATCATAAGAAAAAAATCCTTTTACACCACACACGACATCACATGAATTATCCTGAGCTCATGGTCAAGGCAAATCCATGGGTACTCCCTGCCCAGTATCAAGAGCACGTGTCCCTCAGCCAGTTCATCAGCTGTTCAGCACTGTGATATCAGATACTTCACATCAGCACTGTGAAACCCACCCCAGAGCTCAAACCTAAGGAAGCCCCACCAGGTAAGGGGTTAATGTCAAATGCGGCTCCCCCTCTAGCACAGCCCTTTGCTCCCCAGCCCTGCAGGACCTCTTCAGCTCTTTGGCTGGGTCACAGCAACCAGGGCAGGCCTTTGAACTGCTTTTGGCTATCTGAGGATGCTGCAGTGTTTTAATTAAAATAATTGTTAATCAGTAGGCATCCTTGTTCTCCTGCTACTGGGCTGATAAGCATGAGAGGGAGCAGGACAGCGGGTTGGGCGGTAGCTTCCTTGGCTTGGAGGGCAACCTTGATGAGGATTAGTGCTGGCTTTAGTGGCTGTAATTGAATTATCACTGCTCAGCACGAGCTGCTTGCTCTCTCCTCTTACACTGCTTTGCTCAGAGAAGCCATGCCTCACCTTCCCCACTCCACTGGCCCCAAAGCATGGCAACTAGCCCAAAGAACATGATCAAAGGTCTCTGCTGTGGCTCAGACCAGGTAGTTGGAGCCTGTCATCAGCATAAGTCAGCGACTGACCACGTGGCAGCACTGGGCTGCATCCTGGGCACCCCCCAACATGGGCTAGTTTTCCTCACTTGCTGGCCTGATGGCTCCACTCTGGGCCCCAGAGGCCTTTCAGAAGAGGCTTGCTCTTTGCATGTGATCCCATGGGACCCTTCATTGCCATTAACATGCACAAAAGGAAGACACAGCCACAGAGGGACAGTACACATTGCCCTGTGCACAGGGAGACACTGAAGTCCTGAGAGCCCCACACAGATGAGAGCCCCCATGGACAGACAGCATCACCACCAAAAGCTGCTGGTGACCACCCTGCAGAAGCTGCACCAGGGAGCAATCCTGTACCAGCTGGTCTCCAGTGAGGGCACATGAGCCTCTATGCGCCTTCTTTTCATGCCAAAGACTCACCTGGACTGCAGTGTTGCCCACACTCCTTTCAGCAGCGCAAGAGGCCAGGATGGTACCACAAGTTAAAGTTCTACTACTGAGATGCTAAAGGAGGAGTCCTCTCCTTCCTCAGGAAAGCCAGTGCCCTGCCCAACTCCCTGAAAAACTTCCTGCGGGAAGTATTTTGGCACTCCAAATTGTTGCCAACATAGGATTAGCAGCCTGTTGATTTAAAGGGCTTATTACAAGAGCTTAATTCTATTTTGACAGATGAAAGTCAATTACACCTAGAAATAGCTCAGAATTTAGGTTATATTTTTCCTTCCTTGTATGAGCTGTGGGATCTGTTCCTTCCCTCTTTTTCACCTCAAAGCCAAGGTGTTCTCCAATATGCCACACAGGCCCAAGGAGCCCACAAACACCAGGGAAGGAGACAGCTTGCCATGCATTACTGTTCTGCCTGGGATTTACCTCCATCCCTCCCAGCCTGCTCAGGGGGCTGCCTGCAGATCTGTACTTCATGTAGATCCACCTTCCCCTTGCTCATGTTGGAAATAGCCCAAAATATATTACCAGGTTCTGTCCTGTGTCCATCCCCTGCACCAACTTGTAGTCAGGGCTGGGAAAAGCTCCAGCTAGGAGGTGCACAAGGGAAAGAAATCCTCAAAGTAACCAAGAAACATTAAGGCTAAGGCTCAGGGGTGCCAACATCACACCCCGAATGAATTCCCAACCCAGGAGTAAGCAACAGGGTCAAGACAAGATCAGAGAAGAAAACTTTGGCTATAAAGAGGCTGCTGCTTAACCATCTCCAAAATAAGTCTGTCTGCTCCTGCACACCACTCCCCTAATTGCCTAATTAATTATGACTTACTCCCCAGAGAAATAAGTAGAGACTACCTCATCCCAATTCCACGCACATCAAAGCATCACTGCTGCAGCTCCCGTTCTTTTATAAACTCCCTGATATCCTCCCCGCTACCCCCATTGCACGTGGGCTTTCCACACACCTGTCTTAGCAATAAAAAAGCTGAAATACAGCTGCTTCCCCACCCAGTAAATCCACTTACCACACCTAAATCTATTTACTTGATTAGCAGGATCAGTGCCTGAGTACACCTGTGGGTCCCTCCCTGCTGGGCCCCTCGTTTAAGATTAGCAGTGTAATTAGCACTGTAGTAGCACACAGGCTACCAGCCAACGCTCCTCAGCCCTCTGTCACTGCTGAGCTCTCCCGGCTGCAAAGAGCTTGCTGATGTGGGAAGCTGTGTGAGACCCACGTGCACGACTCAAGCACATGGTGACAAACTCTGTCACTGGTTCAGCTAACCAGCACACACACACACAGGTTTCTCCAAGGAAAGGCTCAACTGCAGGTCTGGGAGTTGTCATGGTCTGAAATCCAGGCTTATAGCCAGTAAAGCATTGACAGACTTCAGTGAAAGGTTTATTGGCTCACTATATTTCATGGCTAAAAGACCTTACGCTCAAAGGGCAGAGCTTGCAAGGTAGTCTCCAGCCCTCATCTAGGGACCAGCCTTTGCCCATGAAGTCTTCCCCACAGGCTGCAGAAAGAAGCAGATTGTAGCGTTTGCCTCCAGCACAACCCACTGGCTCTGTTGCTCAAGGAGCTTGTGAAATCCTGGCTACGAGCACATCAGAAATTCCCTCACCCTCGGACAGCGTGCAGCAGGCGCAGCGAGGGGTAGGCAGTCCTAACGTTGATGTGGTGCTTCAGGATGAGCTCGTTCACCCACTCCACTCGTTCCTTGCCGCCCTTGGCCATGAAGGCTGGGATCCAGAGGATGCTGCCGTTGAGGCTGTGCAGGCGCTGCAGCAGCTTCTCTCGCCAGGTCTCGTTCACCAGGTCCTCGAAGGCCCGCTGGATGACAGAAGGGTTCATAGTCACCAGGTCCGTCTTGGTGCCCACGTCCTGCGAGTATTCCTGCACAGGGGCCAGATTGCACCTGCAAGGGGAAACACTGAATAGCCCTTTAAAGAGGACTTCAGAGAGGGCAATAACAAACATTAGGGGTGTTTGACACCAAAAGTTGGGGCTGGGGAAAGGACACTGACACCTTTGCATAGTCACAGAGCATCCTCAGCCCAGGCAGCAGCTGGAGAGATCTCTGCCACGTTCCCCCGTGGTTCACTGCAGCCCTGGCAGGGCTCTCACACAGGCTCTGTGGACAGCTCAGCTGCACAGTGGGTCTGGACCTGGGCTGATCTCTTGGCTAAGCACTCCCGGAGCTATGAGCAAGTCCCTTAGAGCATGGGCTGTCTGCACAACGACAAGCACAGCCCAGAATCATCACGAACATCTACAGTGTCCATAAAATGACGAGGATGGAAGAATCAAACTATTAGCAATGGTCGCAGTCCTGTGCCACGTGCTCTAGGTGACCCTGCGTGTGCAGGGGGGTTGGACTAGATGACCTCTAGAGGTCCCTTCCAACCTTAAGCGTTCTATGGTTCTATGGTCATTAGTTCATCAACATAAAATTCCTTTTGATTATCACTCTTCGGGCAAATGCACAGCAAAGATGTTAAGGGAGCTGTGCCTTGGCTCCACATCCCTAGACACTACTTGGTGGTCTCGAAAAGGTGCTCATGCACCATCTATTCCATGGGGGCACCAAGAACAGGAGCAGTGATCATTGAGTAGGAGAGAGAAGTCTTTGCAGTGGATTGGAGGGCTCTGACTTGGTAATTTAATATATGGACTTAATATAAAGTCCTTGTTCATCAGTATGCCAGCAAATGCACATGTATATCTCTGGAGTAGCACTTACAAAGTGTGTAATTTTGGTATGTAGTGGGTGGGTTTATTTGGATCTGTATCTCTGCTGGTGCAGAGTTAGAAAATAACCCCTCGCAACAAGCCTCCAAGGTTTGCTGATGTGAAATGGCTTTTCCAAACAATGAGAAAGTCCCTCTTCTCCCTCACAGTGGGGAAAAGCAGCAGAGGTTGGCACCAGCAGTGGTAACAATATCAGTAGGAGGGGGTTGCCATCACCAGCCCTGCCAAAAAGGCTGCGCAGAGCAAACCCCCCTCAAGCAGATGAAGCACCAAGTGAAGGGTCAGCTAATGTGCTAACATCAGCACTGCTATACCTGGCTAGGGAGGAGTCACCCAAAACCCCACTCCCGCTCTGAGTTACACCAAGTAAAGGTTTTTCCCTGGGATTTTGCTGCCTAACATGAAGGCAGGACTTTGCCAGAACTGCAAGGAGCTACTTTTTCCTTTCCTGGTTTTTGTTAGACTTAGTGTCACGTACTGTGCAGGAACCACCCCGAAGGGCTGGATGGAGCTGCCGGCAGCCAGGCAGGCTGGGTTTCACTGCAGGGCAGGGGCTGACGTTATCCCTCTCCCTCCATCCTCTTCCCCGGTGACTGCAGCGTGCCCAGGAGCAGGACGGGCATTCGCGGCAGCATCGGCCCAAGCAATTGCAGTGTTAGGCTGGGCAGAGCAGCACACAGGACCCGGGTGCCATGGGGCTCCCAACGCTCCAGGGGATGTGGAGGGGATGCGGGGAAGAGCCAAGCTTGTGCCCACCGGGAGGCAAGTGCATGGACAAACACAGGATGCGCTTGGAAAAGACCTTTGCAAGGACGTGTGCACCTGCGAGGGCGCTGGGGGAACTCGGTGGTGGCTCTGGGTGGCCCTTACCGTATGACGAAGCTGTGCGCGTCGATCTCGGGGCCGCAGCCGCTGCGGAGCAGGACCCCCGAGTTGCCCACGATGGCACAGGTCGGGAACTGCTTGCCCTTCAGGGGGGACGTGCGGGGCAGCAGCTCGTAGAGGTTCTGGGACACGTTCATGGTGCTGTCCCTGTCGAAGACATAGTGGATGACGTCCCCGGGCTTCAGCGTCCCCTTCAGCACCGAAATGTCCTTCTCTGCATCCAGGAACTTCAAGATTTGTTTCCTAAGGACAGGAGTGAAAACAGCCCCTTCAGGTCAGGTTCAGAGACAACTCACGACGTGGTCTCTACATGAGACGAACTCTTTCCTCCCACCTCTCCTTGCTCCCCAGCTTGACGACTGATTGCAAAGCAGACCAAAACCCAGGAATGGCCTCTGGGAGCCTATTCCCTGCAGGAATAATGTGCAAATACCCCCTCCCAAGGCAGGCTGGTAAAATATCTCCATCTTAATGCGCACCCTTTCCTCATAACCCCTCTCCAGGGCAGGCTGGTATAGCTGGTCCCTGTCAGACTTGACCTGGAATTGGGGGGCTCAAGTGCTCCGTGTTTTTCTTCAGTCCAAGCCCAGCTGGTTCAGATGGGAATTCATTTCCAAGCGATCGCTTACACATATGAAGTCTAGCTCAGCGGGCGATAAACCTTTTATTTCTTTCCTGACTTCTTTAGATGATATACAGAGGCAATTTGCCAGCTTGCACTGGAGAGGACCAAATCTGTCTCCTGTCCTATAGGTAATTACCAGTACCTGATCTTCAAAGAGAGTGTCTGGTTGTGGCTCCATTTGGATGGGGCTGGTTTAATGTTGTGCTTAATGCTTTCATTACTTCTGTCAACAACAGCGGGAGACGAAGAATCATTTATTACTACTTCAGCTCTACAGAAAAGAAAGACAGAGACAGGATCCGTTAGCATCCCGATGGCATTTCTAATCACTCTGTGGCTGCTGAAACCCAAACTTCTTCAGAAAAGAAAAACTGTAGTTATTACCTAAGCAAGGAGAGAAAGCGTATTCATATTTTGCTATGCTTAAGCACATACAAATCCTTAAATACCTGCTTTCTTCCACAAACACAGACTCACAGTCAAACACAGGTTTACATAAAATACAGTCTTAAATATCAAGATGGGGAAATGCATGCATGCAAAAACACAGGCAGGCTTTGCAAGGAGAGATTCGCACATGCACGTGCACTTGCAAGCAAAACACCACTAAGCCCCACAGGGACCCAAATTTCACCAACAGCTTTTATACACAGGCAGTGGTTGCCACCATTGTGGTTCCACCTGCACATCCAAAGAAACCCCTTGATTTCACCCAAAGAAGAAACAAATCCAGCCAAGCTGTGGGGCGCTCTTTGTGATATTGGGTCTCATCTACCAGCACCCCATAATGAACAGCAAAGGACTGCCATTCCTATAACTTTATTTTTCCCCTTTAGAAGGACAGAATTTTATTGTATCTCTTGTCTTTCCCAGGCCCAGAAATGATGAAGGGAACTAGGAAGTGAAAGACACCATCGTGCTGCAGTTTGGTGCTGATCGCTGGGAGATCCCGGGTTGTAATCCCTGTGCTAGGAAGCAAATAAGCCCCAGCACTTCAGTGCAATTTACATCAAATGGCATAAATTAAGGGAGCCTCTGAATATTTGATTTCAGCCATCCACCCTCCAAAGAGAATAACCAAGCATCTCATCAGGAAGCAGCACGTGTGTCTGCAGCCCCCAAAAACCTTCACACTTCAGAGCGCTCTGAAAAATACACAGTCAGAGCAGCTGCTGACAGCTAAAGGGAATCTCCTTCCGCGGAGGAAAGGGCCTTTTCCACCTGGGGAACAGTTTATAAATAAATAGATGTATAAGCAGCACGTGAACACCATGGAGGGAAATAAAAGCTAGAGGGGACAGAGAGAGAAGGGGCTGCCAAGGAGCAACAGGCAGACGGGGACAGTGGTGCCATTCCTGGTGTGACTCCATGCCCAGGCAGGCTGCGTGCTGTGGGATGGCTCTTGGGGCTCAGGCTGCGTAATGGTTTAGAAAGGAAAAGGAATGTGTCTATGAGCGCCAGCTGCCAGGGTCCTCGTGTGGGTTCATGTGTACAAAATGCTAATGCACCTTCCCCAGCAGCTGGCAGTTGAGGTTGTTATCAGTCCTGCATTTTGCCATTTAAGCTGGTGTCTTGCAAAGCTTATTAATAAGGTTTGAAAAATCCAAAAGGAAATCTGGTAAAGAAACCTTGCAAATAACTGTTTTTTCTGGTTGTGCCCATAACATTTCCTCTGTTTTGTTTATGTGTTGTGACCTCATCACAGAATGGCACTTTTTTTTTCTGAATGGTGTCACTAAACTCCGAAAATATGTCTCTTTGTATTCTCAGAATGACATGAAATCATTTTAAAATAACACAGAAGGACTCCAAATGAAGCTGTGATGTCACAAAACTCTATGCAATGGAGCAATGTTACTGAACTGAGTTATAATAAAACCAAACGAAGTTCTGATGTCAAAGAAAGCTGTTTCTTTACTAACAGCACATAGTAAAACTACAAAAATGGCAACTCTATCACTGACTTATTTTCACAATAAGTAACTCTCTCTTCCCCATTCTCTCAATCACAGCAGCTTGCAGATCCTTGGTTATTTGCAAATGATTATTACACTGAGCTGGGGGAAGAAGGGGGGGAAACGATTAAGAAAATGCAAAGCAGAAGTGAAAAGAAACAGATACATTTGCTAAATAAGAACAGCACTATCCACCGAAGAGGAGAAGCAGATTAATAGCTGCCTTACAGCAAAAACAAATGAACACAAAATCTAATTTACAAACCTATTAGATTTGCTATGTAAGCTGTTCACAGCTGATCTGATTGTACCTCTGCCTCCAGAACTCCTGCAAGACAAAGGAAATGCATTATTTATAAACCCAGCTCCTTTTTGCAGAGCATTGTTCACCAGTCAAAAGATCCGGCTCTGATGCGATGCCTGGGAAGGGCTTTTCGTATCCTTCGTTAGTGGTACCTTACTGTGACCGTGAAACCATTCCGTCAAAAAGCTCCTAACCAGCCCAATTAATAATATCTACGCTCTCCAACCAGCCATCACAGACATCTGGTCCCAGTCATCAATGCAGCATGTAGTCTACAGGTTATGCATTAATGAATTAAATACATTTCCGTCTCTTTTTTAAATATATGTGTATATAGAAATCAGGTGGTATCAGGGTGTAGAAGAGCTCTCTCCTCAACCTCTAGCTTGCCAAGGGACTTCTGCTGTCTCTTTCATTTGCAGAATGAGCTAAATTATCTGGCTAGGCTTCCTGCCACTGTCTCTAGCTTGGTCTTTCAGTTGAGACCAACCCAAATCTTCATTTTCACCCAAAACAAGCCACCTGCCTCCTGGGTGATATGCAGAGCCCTTGTCCTTGTAGTGCACCTTCTCCTGGCTCCCAGTAACTCAGTGGAGGCCCAGTTCCAGTCCCCACGGAGCCTGAGAACCCTTTCAGAAACCAGTGCCACTCGTATGACTTGCCAATCCTGTTAAAAGAAAAATAAATGCAAGTATTGATCTGCATCTAGTTGTTTGTTGCTTTAGCCTGTTGTTTTCAAAAGGGAAAAAAGAATTAGTCTCCCAGTTTCTGGAGATGTTCAGAGGGAGCTGGGCTCCTAATTGGACACATTTTAACCGCCGGCCCTCTCATTGCTCTGTTTTATTGCCTCCATTGCACAGATACCCAAGTGAACATGCTCATCAAGAGAAATGAATTCTTTTCCAGCAGAAATATTGTTATCTGGGAATATGTACTTTAATGGAAATGTATCTCAGGGGCCTATTTTTCTACCAGTCCTGAAATATCATCCTAAATACATAAGACATAAACAAAAAGAAATAAGGGTGTGTGGACATATGGTACCATCAAAAATATATATATATATGTTCAGACTTGGGTGATGTGATGCAAATTCCAGTTAGTCTGAGCTGAGCCCTTGGTACCACGTGACATCAAACCCTTGGAAATGCTGCTTTGGGCCCTGTGATGGTCCTCCTGTTCCTGCCTCTCTGGGAGACCATCTTCTGCCAGGTTAGAGAGGTTTCTTCTCCACGAGTGCCTTCATTCCCGTGCCAAACCTGAGAGTCAGTGTGTTGCTTGGTATTTTTGGTGTATCGAGGGAACAGCAAGACGAGCTTATTCCTAAAACCTGCTGGCATTTAACAAGCCTCTGCTGTGGCGGGTTCGCCGCAGGGTGTGGGAGCCGGCCAGATTAGTGTGCAAACCACGCAATCCTCTCAAACACATCTCCTCTGAAGGAGCCTTCCAAATGGGATTCACACTCCTTCACACTTGCTGTAAGACAGATAGGGACTGGATTAAGGGCTTAGAAAAAGAAATGACACTCCTTGAATAAGTGCTGGTTCACTGTCTCTGTGAAAGGGAAGTCACAGAAATTATAAAGTGGAGAAGACTTGTTAGGGCCCACCTCTTCCATGTTTTCTGGCCATGGCAGGACTGGTCCTAGACATCACAAGGTATTATTCAAATGTATTTATCCAGTTTAGCTTTAGATGCCCCAGGCGACAGGTCTGTGCATGTCTCTTCCTGAAATCCAGGCTAGTTTCAACAGCTTGGGATGCTGAATGTGACGAGGTCCAGCTGCTGCACAGAGCAAATCCCTCAGTGCGCTCCATTTCTGGAGGCTATGGAGAAGGGAGGCAGGCAGGCTGTCTGGATGTCCTGCTTGCCGGTAGCACAGCCACGCAGCCCGTCAAAGGGCATCTTTATTGTTCCACTGCAGAAACCAAAAATTTTTCAAAATGCAAACGGAGCAGGACACACTTGCACAGTGGCACTAGGCTCGCCCACTTTGCTATTCTCCCAACTGAGGCACGAGACATTTCCAGTGACAAAGTGGGACTTGACTCCACTTTGCAGGCACTCAAAGCACCTCTGCAGCAAGGGGATTACAAATGTCAGACAGATCAACGCTTCTCTTCATGCCCTCTCCCCCATGAGCTACGTGGAGATGTCTCTCCAGGGAATGACCCAGATGCTTCAGGACAGAGTGTCTAGTGATGGGCAGGAGTGTGAGCCAGCCTGGCCTTCAGAGCCTTCTTGCTCCTTCAACTCATTCCCACACGCATTGCACCAATATTCATAAGCTTTCCTTGAGGGGGTAGATTCAACGCTCACAAATCTGAGGAAAAAGCAAACCTGGCCTCACTGAGCCCATGCAGGGGGGCTGCAGAGATGCTCTCCCACCAATATTTCCCCCTAGCTTGGTGGTGTCTCCCATGAAGGTCAGAAAGGGGCCACACAAGGTAGCAAAGCAAACATTTATCCACTTACAGCTTCAACGCTGTCCTCCCTCCCCTGTGGTCCCTCTGACCCAGCAGACCCTGTCTGGGTGACACTGGTCACGGCCACCGCTGCAGGCCAGCATCTGGCATGAAGGAGGAAGAGGCTCTCAGCAGGCACCTGAGATGCTGGCATGGCTACTGTTCCCTGTGCCAAGCCGGTGTCACGGCTTTCTCAGCCTGTCTCTGAGTCACAGATACTACCTGTAGCTGGGACATGAGACTTGGCTAAGGGTCTCAGCTGGTCTAGGGAATCCTAAAAGGCTCTTGTGACATCCTGGCCATTGGCCTTTGGCCCTTTCAGTCCCACACTGCAGCTTTTGGACACTTCCCTTAAAATCTCCCTTTGTAAGTCAAAAGTGATGCATACAGTAATTGTGATATTTGGGGTATACCGCCCTGTCAGGCAACACCTTGCTCAGCCTCCAATCGGTACCAGTCAGGCAAACCTGTTGTTCCAAATACCTGTAGGTTAGCCATGCTCAATATTTTCTGAAGACTGCAATACTCATAATTACCAACACAGGCAAAAAAATACTCCCTTCCACCTCCTTTCCGTTGCCTCAGAAGAGAAAAGCTTTAAGAAATGGAAGGCACTAATTAAGAGGAAGAGTTAAAAATTAAAAGTGTCAGTCCATTTTACTTTACCTCTGCTGACCTACAGTTGCAAATCTCTTGGCATCAAAAGGTAAAGACCAACCTTGATTAAAATTGCACAGATAGGCATTGATTTTGAACAGCTTCCTAGGGCTACATGATGTTTAGATTGAATTGCCTTATTAATCTAGGTGTTATCAGTCTGATTGTATAGGCAGCCCCACAAAGTGCCAAGCAGCGCCCTAATCTCATTATTTACAAAACACACTTCTTTTGACTTCTGTTGGGATGTTTTCCAGTGATAAGTCACATCTTATTTTTGCTTTGAGATTTTCAGTGTGAATTTGGACTATCTGAGATATTCTATAGGTGAAAAAAAAACCTGTACTCAGATGTAAAATGGCACTGATTCAGAGACAGAAAAGGAAGAAAAACTGTCTTGTGGTTTGGATCCAAATTCTCTTGGATGAATAATTTATGACAAATCAGTTATGTGGAGACTTTTTCATTCACCCACAGTGAATGGGCTGTTTAGGGGTTTTCATCCCCTATTCATTGTTATCCACTTCTTAAATGATTCCCTTAATTATTGCTAGGTACAGTTTGGTCTTGCTTAGAGCAATTTTGACACATGAAATCAAAGCTGCTTTGACTGAACAAGTAGGTCACACAGCCTCTTTGGGTGAGGGGAACTCGTTTTAAGAGCAGGTTTTACACATCCATATTCTCCAGATTACAAATTCAGAATGTGTTTTCCATGGATATATTACAATATCCACCTCCAATGCCTGCTTCTCCCAAGCATTTGTGGCAGAGCATACACGAGGGAAGCAAGCACAAGAAGCACGAGTGTTACAAATAAGCTAGCTGAAAATTTCAGCTCTATTTGACAGCCCAGCTTGTCCTGTATCATTTGTAGGGCCCATTCTGGACAGAATAAAACCCCTGCCAGAGACAGCCTGCCTGACCTTGGGCAAGTCATGTTACCCAGGCCCTCCTCCTCTCCCTCCTCCACTCTATAAAACAGAGATAATAACAGTGACACAATCCGTTGGGGGATTGTTAAGCAAAATTTATTCATTTGGATTCCTCAGAAAGAGAGTTCAGAGTGTCACAATTTTATCTGAGGAGTTCAAATGATTAACACCCACTAATTAAGTTTCGCAACATTCTTGTGAGGCAGGTACATTTTATTATCCTTGTTTTATGGCCGAGGCAGCGGGGGTTAAGTGGCTTAGCCCGTAACACCAAAACTGACAGGCTCACAAGCCAGGATGGGAACCAGCACTCTTGGTTTAAAACAGATGCATCCCTGTGAGGGTGCTGCTCACTTGCTGGGGTGCAGGAGTGCGATGTACAACGGGGAGGCCACATGAAACGATCTGAAAAGGTCTCCCTGGCTGGGAAACACATGCAGCCGTTGACCTTCTGGAATAGCTATTGATTAAAAAAGAATCAGCTATGTTTATTTTGCTTTTTAAGAATTGCTCTGACGTTGCCATCAAGAGCAGAGTGAGTTCTTCCTACCCGAAGAGTGGAAAAGGGTAACGCCAGGCTGGCCAGGGACTGCTCTCCCCAAATCACAGCATGCTCCATGCAGCGGCTGTCTCAGGCAGGTGTGCACGCAGGGGGAGGCAGAAACGCAGGGCATGGTGTGTTTACAGTCATCCCTCTGAAGGACGATGCTTCACGGCAGGATAGACCCAGTCATTGCAGCTAAATGAATTTTGGGGAAAGCGATGAGCTGGCCAGTCAACTAAAATGAAATTCAGATAATCCCTTTCCTCTGAAACCTGATACACATTTTTTGCTCCTACTTATGCTTACAATGATATATAATCCCACGTGCATTCATCATCCTAAGATGTACCTTGGAAAATCAGGAGCTAGCCCACACCTGCATGCTGCCTTATTATGGATGGGCTCGGATGTACTGACCATGCTATTAAGCAACTGCCTTCATTTTGCTGACTAAGATCAGCAT